TGTAAAACCCCCCGTAGAATGTACTGTACTGTACTATACTGCCTGTGTTCTGGGTCAGAATCAATGTACTGTACTGTACTGTACTATACTGCCTGTGTTCCGGTTCAGAATCATCCTCCTGTAGAATGTACTGTACTGTACTATACTGCCTGTGTTCTGGTTCTGTTATGTACACCATGTGGGGGCCCAGCAAGGTAATGAGAGAAAGTAAAAAAATATATACTTAAAAATGAAAGGATTAAAATGCTAAAGGTAACTGGAAGATTCATAACCAGTTTCATCTTTGATTTTTCCTCTTAATTTTACTCTTAATGTAGCCACGGTTTATTTTATAATTATGAGAAGGTGACAGTCACGTTTTGAAAAGATGAAGACTTTTAGACCATGATTGTATAAGCCAGTGTTTTCTTAATGTATTTTATTGTGGTGTGTTTTGCAGCTCTAACTGTGGGAAATGCAGACTTACAGAATTAGCAGCTTTTCTGACACAATCTCAGGGTACAAGTGTACAAAGTAAATGGCTGCCATGCTGCCATCTTTAGGCTACAATCCAGGCAGCAACAGGAATCATAAGTATTTAAGTGTCTGTAAGCAAAGTGTGGTAACATCTGGGAATCTGGCGGAGCGAGCAGCAGTCTGGTTTGACCTGCTTACCTGGCAACCCCCGTTAGTTCAGTAGCAGATGTTGTATATTTACATAAAGTCAGGTCAGGTCAGGGAGCATGTGCCGATGCAGCACGTTGCTGCACCCACCACATGACAAAACTCCTCAGGATCCCGGCCATCAACCCCCCAGGTAGACACATGGTCCAGTCCCATCTTCCAGAAATGGTCATCCATCTGCCGCAGCCAGGTGTTACGTGGGCGTCCCCTCGGCCTGGTCCAGCCACTCGGGTCCTCAGCAGCGACGATCCTGTGAGCCGGATCACCCTCAGGGAAACACGCCACATGGCCGTAGTGCCGTAACTGACACTCCCTCACAATGCAGGTAATGTGCCTCATTCGGGTCTCCCTGAGCGACTGCTCATTCTACTCTAAGTCAAACCAGCGGTACCCAAGGATTCTCCGGAGAGACACAGTACCGAAGGAGTCCAGCCTTTGTCTCAGCTTACTGGATATTTACATAAATTACATAAAAACTAATCACAAATGATTTGTGGATTTATTAATGACCAGAATAAAGTGTATTCCTAGGAAATCTTACAGAAACATTTTATGGGCACTGCTCTGGAATTGATCATATTTTGAGACAGATCACACTGAAATGGAAGCCATGTTGCATAGGGATAGCATAGAAAAAGGCAGTTTGGACACTTGATACTGTGAGCATGATAACTCAAAAACTATTTGGTGGATCTTTTTCAAACTGTGCAGATACTTTGTATAGTTGAACAGCTAAAACTGACAAGATTTTCAGACGGACTGACCCTAAATTTTAAGACTGACTCAAAATTGAATCAGCGCCTGTAAGTGACAGCAAAGGGAAGGGTGACTGCAGATGACATTTTTTCTTGTGAGTGTGACAAGTCAAAACCTACTCTATGGCTCTCATTACTTAGCAGTAGCATTTGACAGTGTTGTGCTCAAGTCCACCTTAGTCGAGTCCAAGTAAAGATCAAGTCCAACAGGGGTGGAAGTCTGTCACTATAGAACAGACGAATACAGATATTGAAGATGAATACATGAATTTTTAAAATATATTTAAAATGATAATCAACAAAGAAATAATTATTTTCAACTATGAAATAAATAATTCATCGAACACAAACGTATCAGAAAGACATCTGCAATGCATTCTGTAGTAATTATTAAATTCAGTGTAACATGACTGCATCCTTCTGTACACGTTTGAAGTTGATTCTGGAACCAAAGAATATGCACAAAGCAATTCAAGGCTTTTTTTTAGCAAACTTTTTTTTATTAAGCAATTTCTAATTTCAAATCAATATAAAGATAAAGTGGCAGATCTACCATGCAACACATTACATATATGTATGATAATTGGGGCTCTCCACACAACAATAAAGACACAATGCGTTTCATAAACAGAAGTGCTGTGAGCATTTTATTGCTTAAACATGCACGCAGGAGTCTAAGGCTCCTGTGCCAGACATCGGCGGGTTTGACTCCTGCTCTTAGCAGATCAGTCACATCATCATTGGGCTGTTGAATAAGACCTTTAAACTCCAATGGTGCTGCAGACTGATTTTGGTAGAATATGGACATCATGCCAGTCACCTCAGTAATCGA